GACGCCTCCGACACCCGAGCTTAACGCACAACTTTCACACTCTAATTTACGTACCATTTTCCTGAAATCGACTGACAATGGCTAACGACCATTGCGTAAAACGCTAAAAAACACGTTTACAAGCATATGTGAGATATTAATAACTGGGAAAGATTGTAATTATTAATATAATTATAGCGTATTTAATAGATATTATTATAATAAATTCATAAAACTTCAAATTAATGCGTAAATATTTTAAATATTTGTAATGAATGGAATAACAGAAACGACGCAATTCCGCATCCTAACCACACACACATTCGGAAAATACGTCGTGCACGATACATTAACACATTGTCAGTCGCTAATAAATTTTTTATAAAATTACAAACTATGGTCATCGTGCCCAATGTCTTTCACCCACCCAAGTAGCACCTGGGCACGTGAGTGAGATCTTGACAATGAACACGAAAAGGGTTAAACCTGAAAATCCTGGCTAAAAAGATGATTAATATATTTGTTTTGTGTCTAACGGGCTAATACTCAATGACGATTTTCTCATTTTGCTTCAATTTTCAGTGATTCTACATTATAATTTAATAATTTATTGAACTGAAAAAAAACACAATGAATATATTTATTGAAAATAAAAAATACTAAGGTTCAACATAAAGATTCAAATAACATAAAATTCAATAAGTAATAATGGATTCTAAGTAAAATATTCTGGGTTTCTTCATCAAAGCACATCTTTGAAAATGCAAAGATAACATTTTTAAACTACTTTGATTCTGAAACCACCTATCGCGAAGTGTCTTCTTGCACATGAAATTTGATACATTTTGAACGAATAAAACTGAACTTCAATATTTTCATATTTCAAATTCCACTAAAACTATACTGTTTATACTTATATTATCATATACTGTCTACTTATATTATCATATCTTAAATCCTGTTAAAACTATACTGTACATGGTAATTGCATATCATCATAAAATGCCAGATAATATTAAATATTATTTCTCATTGGAGCAATTATATTACAACATTGATCACTATTGTAATAATTTCAATAATTGTTAATAGCAACGAAGTCGAAGGACATTCGACTTTATTACAAAATATTCCAATAAAATCATTGTAGATAACATTTGTTACCATATCTAATCATATTGAGCACACTCTGTGTATATATTCAATTACAAATTCTTGTATTAATTATTAACATTAATTATTTATATCAGTTTTTTATATTGTAATATAATACCAATATTATGCTCCGTCATATTAAATTATTATTAACATTTGAAAACGCGACGTGCAAGAAAACCTAATCTGAACTAATAAATAAAACACAGACAACAAAATGTTACTACTCGCGGGTATAATAAATACCCGCGGTCACTATGCTCATCAAAAATTCTATGTATACAACCAGGCACTCGTGTTGATTCGGACCTTTCATCCTACAACATGCTTGAGTGACCAGAGGAACAAAAATGCATGCGACTCACGCAAAGAACGTTATCATCTTTGAAATTGTAGCCCAAGGGAATCAGTCATCCAATAGAAATCATCGAATTCCGTCAAAGTATTGAAGATTGAAAAGTATCTGTAATAAAGAATAGAATATTACAATTTATACTTAAAAACAATCTTGATAACATCATTAGTCAGTGTTGATTGAATATTGAATAAATACTATCAATTATTTAACAAAAAGAGAAAACGAACATATAAATATCTCTGCTTTTACCAGGAAAATCAAATATTGTCCTTTGTCCATGAAAAGTTAAACGATTTTATCTCGAATCAAGATGGCGTCTCTTTTTGAATTTCGTGGCGTCCCTCTAATACTTCGAATTTTTCTTCGAAATCAACCAATAACCTAAACAAAAAGAAATGAAATATTCAAGTAAATGTGTAAACGGAACAAATTATACAAGGAGAAAACAATAATTAAAATTATGAATGATCATAATTCGAGCTGCGAGTACACATAGCAACCATAAAGACAATCAAGGAAAAAGACAATTTAATTATAAATTATAAGAATCTTTGATAAATTATTAAATAGAAACGTACACTTATTAAATAAGCTCAACAGTAACGTAAGTATAAATGATAGAAAGACAATAATGAAAGTGTTACGCAGTTAATTACTGTCATGCGACGTAATAGACGTTAACACCTTGATCTTGAACAATAGACTAACCCCCCTGCGCAACAGGTTCGCGTCGCAAACTAATTTGATGGAGTGGGGGGTCCGAACCTGCACGAATAGAATTCGCTTAATTTAGAGGAAAAATAGTGTCCTATTAGAATATTCCTATATGAGAGTTGACTATCATGATAATGACCAACTTAGAAATAAGAGCTAAAAAATATTTAGTACCAGTATATAGTTCAAATTTGACCAATATAATCACAATAGTCGTACTTTCTTACCATTTTATATACGGCAAAATATTTTGTATAACACATGTAATGTTCACATAAAAATTTGTACAATTATTCTAGTATTTTCACGAGCTGTTACATATGAAAACCTATATTCCAGCTAACAGATGAATAAGACTGAATATATGTAATAACGTTTTTTAAATAAAGCTCGCAATTTTTAATCATCGACAATATAAACAAAGATCCAAAAGCTATTAATTGTAATCTTTACCTGACATATCTTGGATAACACTTCTTCTTACAATGTCTAAAACAGACATTTGTAGATATTAGTTACATCCCAGATCGTAAGAAATTATAGTAATTTTGATTGAATATCATAACATATAATAAGCGTGATATATAATCTATACCTAACCAAAGATCCATTTCACTTTATGCACGTCCACTTCATTTCATGCATCAATTTGGCCTAATTGTAAGTGAAATAAGCGTCTTAATTTTAAGTTTTAATTTTTGACTTTAAATTAATTTAATGAATTTAATTTATTCAATTCCGTGTAAATAATTTAATCGTTTTCAATGATTGAGTTGAATATAATTTCTATGCCTATCTTACTAATTGCAAATCACAGAGGGCGCAAGAAACGCTCTGATTTTTTGTTTAAAGTCTTTCTTTAGATTTTTCTTTTATATGATATTTTGTCTATTTTATATGATATCTTATCTATTTTATTTTTAGTTAATGCTAATAGTTATTTTAACGTTTCCCAACATTACCGATATAACAGTAAATAAGATTAACTAAAAAAACAGAACATTAACTTACAATTAATCAATAATGTAATTACAGTATTAACAATTATCGAAATTAAAATTTTACTATGAAATTGTATAAGATTAAGATCTCATAAATAAGTAGAAAAGATTATTCAATAAAATTCAGTAAAAATTAAATATAATTCTTAAATTAAGATGCCTGCTCTATTTTTGCATTTACTACCTAAAACATCATTAAACATCATACTCAATCTTTATAATGTCATATGTTATCAGTTAAGCTTGATGCTTATCGTTAATACGCTTTTAGATATCATCAGTCTGTAAAAACTACTACAAACAGAAAGAAAAAGACGGTATATCACGCTATTATATAAAAACATCTTATGTAAAACTTTTCGATTGGCACCTGTCTCGCAAAAACAAAATTTTACAAAATAAGGATGAAATGTTTAACATTTGTTTCTGAACTGTGTGGTAATACTCACAAGGTGAAGTCGATTAAAAGGAAACATTAATCGGGTTACCTCGTGCAACGAGTGCCTAATCGATCGTAGACTTTCAATTTATTACGAAAGTCTCGCTGAAGACGTCTGCATATTTGCGCGTCATTGAACGTTGTAGCCTAAGAAGCACACTCAAGCGATGATGTCAAAAAACTGCATTTGTGATGATGTTCGATTTCAAGGCCGCTCGTGCAACCGGTTCCTTTGAATTATATCGATAGTCTGGTAAAAGCTGCGTTTGCGTCACAAAGGAAATGCTTGTTGTATTGTTTTAGGTCAAAGAACAAACCTTGCGTAAATTACTTTTAGGGAATTACAACTATAGTTTGCAAAAGTTTAATTGCGCAATAGTAGAACAATGAACGAATTGTGCATTCACAATCTTAAGCATTAAGAATGTACATATATACTCAGTATGTACATATATACCAATTTTAAGTATCTAGATTTTCTTGGACATTCTCTGCCAAATCTCTAATGCATTTTGCGTAATATATTAATATTAAACCGGCAAGGCGTTATTTCACACCGATTGCAAAAGGGCTGAATTTACTTTCACAAAGCAGCATGAAATAAAGTGGAAGACTTTTTTCAAAACGAAATCTCGTCACACGCGAGGACATTGAACATGATCATTGCCGATTCCGTGGATAAGATCGAGCTTGACAGAATCGTTTCCATCAACCGCCTTTGTTTAAAAGCCTGAAACATACATTCATGAATAACCTGCCTGATGGTGTATCGTGCTGAGACGCGGTTGCTCGTGACTAATGTGACCTTCACCCTTGCCTCGTTTCACCGACTGGTCATTTCTCTTCCAGTGGTCGGTTAACTTCTTGAACTAGCACCACAGCTTGTCTAGTTGCCAGTGTTTAGATGATGGGACCACAGAAGAAGAGGAATACGTTAAAATATTTGTTTGTTAAATTGTTGATAAAGTAAAATATAAATATATATAATAGTGATAGAATAAACAAAAAATTCTCTCATGACGTAAAATCAACGTACCTTAAATATTAAAAGTATATTGCTAAAGAAAGATGAAGAAGAGAAGAATGCTTCGTTTCAACAGATACTTTGCTGAATCTCTTGTAACGTAAAGGTTTTTTGCCAAACAGTGTAAACTTCTTGCAACTGCTGTTAGGTATGCTGTTAATCTGGTAATACAGCTTTTCAAGTTTCTAAACCCTGTTTGGTGAATGCTATCACGAAGGAGAAGAATAAAGTGAAATAAGTATTTGATCTCCGTGACAAATCTAAATTTAGCATGTTTCATCTCTCTTCTTTGTTCAGTAATTTTTCTTCAATAATAGTTGATGCGATATTACAGGTTCTCGCATCGTTAATTAGCATGTGAATGAAATTGCGGAAAAAGAGTAAGATGAAATGTTTTATATATTCAACACGTTCTTATGTAGATATCCTTAATATGATATATTATAAAAATTTGAATGAATTGTCAGATTTCTGAAATTGACAAAGAAAAAGTGAGTATTTAATTGAAACTTGTTTCTTAGAACAAACTTTCAATGATGAGAGAAAAAGATATTCTAATAAAGATTGAAACACATAAGATATGTATCAGCAATTGTCATTGCAAACACAAAATAAATAAAATCTAAAAATCCTACAAAACTAGAAGATACGCAAAGCTCCGAAAATACAGTGAAGAGAGAGAGAGAAAAAAAGAAGAATCTGAAAATCACGTAACGTCGTTATTCAGCGTTATTCAATCCCGATTGAACGTGTTCTTTTGCACTCAGCCACCGAGTCGATTCGCATGATATCCATAGTCATTTCTTTTCCGGCCAGTCGCGGTATCAGAACTTTCACGCTCGAAATGTTGGTTGGTCATTGCGAAATCAGATGATATTTGCAGAAACGTGTCGATTTTTCGTTCGTTTGCTTTATAAACGTCAATTATCGTAGAAACTGTGTCGAACTGTGTTCAACAATGTTGAAGTCAACCACTCCGGAAGAATTACAGTCGGGCTACGTGTCGGATGGGTCGTTAATATTCTTCAAGGTTGGACGCTTGGAATACATACATACATACAACGTCTAGAGTAGAAGCAAGATATGCCACGAGCGAGGGCGTATCTCGCTGTTATGCGCATTTTAATTAAATGTGTGCACGTATCGGGTATTGTGGCTTGTGTAAGGAAGCGAGTGTACCAGCTATTTTTGGCCAATAAATTGAATTTCCCTAGCATCACGATGCCACATACAAATAAATATTTGTTCCACGGGATAATTTTGCTAGTGGAGGAATTTTAATAAAGTTTTAAGAAATAGTTTAAAGGTAAATATTATAGGTACAGTGATTCACTAAAAAATTGAAACAATTATTAGTTTTTTAAATTTTAACAATATAATTAAAGTAGTTGTGCCCTGTTGCAATGTCAAGGTGATATTTTGTTAAAAAAATTTTAGAGTTACAAAAGAGTTACAGCTTTTATCTTCATGCTAAAATTCTTGAACGCTAGATTGAATTTCTTGTATATTTATCAAATTTTTGTTATGTTTGTATGTATTCAAAAAATTGATATAAGTAATTGTCATAAGAGGATGACAATCTTTTTCACCGGCTATTTGTGAATATAAACATCGCTATCAATTACTAAAGTTATTAAAAGTCGAACAACAGTATCCTTTCTGGAAACAATTTTCTAAACGAGCAGCAAACTAGCGAGGAGAAGATGACTAGATGAAAAGATCGTTGATTCCATTTAGAATGAATGAACGTGAGAACGGAAATAAGGACCGAAGGTACCGCGAATTAAGCTTCATTGTTATCCAAGGAACGACAGGAAGACGAGTTATCGCAAGAAGGAAGTTTACGCGTAATGAGGCAAATCAGATCGCTCGGTTACGAAATAAGAAATCGTTTACCATTTCTTGCAACAGACTCGATGAAGTTTCAAAAGTGAAACGATTACCACATTTCTTATTCCCTGTTTTGTCGTGTGCATATTTACAGCGTTTTTGTGTCACCTCGATTGCTATGGTAACACACCTTTAACGTGTTACTGATTCAAAATATACTATACTTTTCCACCTGTAATAATTTTTCATACTTCAAGAGCTGAACATAACCTAATTCATAAAAATTATTCTAATTAAAATTAATCGAAATTTGCATATATAGCAAAATATTTTATTGACTTACTCGTTCACGATATCAAGAAATATAGCAGTTTCATTCTTTTGTTAATACTGAAACTATGACTGCATAACAGGAAACGATCTTATATATTCAAGTATTAATTATACATGTCCCGTTTAATATCATAAAGATTTCATATCTTATAATCTTGCAAATTAACATAAATGATCAATTAACATAAATGAATTGATCATCAACAAGCTATAAAACAGGTTGTCCTTGAATCTTATTTGATCTTGTTAAAAATCTCCTCTTTTTCTTTAAGTAATAAATAATAAAATACGACGACTAAATTCCAATTGTTTCATCATTAACAAGCCTGAAAAAAAGAAACTCTGTATTTCCTTTCCTTGTAAACTCTGTATCTCGTTTATTCGCTACAAACATTTGCGCATTATGATATTTATAATATACTTGTTCTTTCTGGATTATATCCAGTTTTCCTTAGTCTTGTCCCAAACAAACAACCATAAATAATGCGTCTCCTCTTTTTTATCTACAGACATAGATTTTCCATTGTTTATGAAACTTATGGTTCTATTCCTTACGATGTAACATTCACGAGAAACAAAACAGAAGCGTTTACGCCACCTAAGGACTCCAGACAAAAATCGATCTTGTCAAAAAAAAAAAAAAAGAGAGAGAGAAAAGAACGAAAGAAAAAAGGCTGTGTCTTATCTATCTTTTACCACCCATTGTGAGGTTAAAACTTTTCTTCCTCCCCTCCATGCTATCCCAAACTCATCACTCAGCGACCAATGTATGCGTGAACGTCCGCTCGATCGTTTATCACTGCTTTGTATGTACATGTGGTCGTCCCTGCATGCAGTAGTCCCTCATGTTCCTAACTGACCACGATTTGGGAATGAATCTGATTAATTAATACAAGAGACAGTTTAAAATTTCAACGGTACAATGCCAAACGAAGGGACTCCGTGAAGTCCAAGAGATGGCAGGAATAGCTGTGGTCAGTTGGCAAGGCAGAATTCCGGCCAGTTAGCAAGGCAGTTCCTGTAGATACACTCGCGCGCGCGCACGCATTCACCGCTCACAGCAAGTAGATACAAAATAGCGGCCGCAGTCGTGAAGGCTCGCTGCTCACGGTGAGATCGTGGTCCGTCGGGATCGGTGAGCGAAGAATTGTGTTGATCGTGATCGATCGATCGATCGATCGTTGCCGGTGGTGAACGCGGTAACAAGGAAAAGAAGAGAACGAAGAGAACACATGAGCCACGCATCGTTCAGGATCAGAACACGACGGAGAAAGAGAGAGAGAGAGAGAAAATCGTGATCTCTCATTTCTTATCGATCGACTCATCGATTACCTTCGAAGATTCGCGGTATCGACCGATAAGTGCGTTACAACGATTGATCCAACGCGCGGGAAATAAAAGGCCGCGAAAACTACCGGTGTGATTCTGCGCAATGATGACTCCCCGTCCGCGTGCAAGTCGTTAGTATTTCTAACGAATTGGATACACAAGCGTGAAGAAAGTAACAGGAAAATTGGTTTGAGCTTGGGAATTTAAGTGACACTGAGTGGACAAATTTGGCCGTTGATGTGGTACACGATCAAAGTAAGGTTAAGCGGATGTTTGTCATTTGATACTGGCGGTAGAATAACTCCGATTGTAAGAAGAGTGTGTTTGAAAGAAACGCAGTAGTGATTTAGTGAGGAACGACGAGCCTCGTTGAGAGAAATGCTGATACGTTTTGCTGCTGGTTCTACGTAGCTGCGATAACATTGGAAGAGTAACAACGAACAGGGAGAGATGGAGAATCCTTGAGACGTTCAGGTGAGCTTGTTTAATTGTTCCTTTTTAAGCCTATGCAGGTGTTGCAATTTTATCGATATGACGTCAGTATTTCACGAAGAGATACTCTGATCGATCGAAGTAATTGAACTATTCGAACGTACGAATAAATCAGGATCTTCTAGCAGAATTTTTAAATTAGAAATTGTAAATTGTCGATTCCTTCTTTTTCACAATTTGATAATTTTTCATCGAATGGGATGACGAACTGCTTACGGAACAGCATAGTTTTCTTAAACGATGGATACATAGTTGCTCAAGGTAGGCGGGAAGTTTAATTAAGTCTTTTTTACTTTACAAGTGTTCTTCGGTAAGAGCAGTTTGAGTAAACAGCTTCATCATCGGACAACTGGTTAATGAGAATTCGTTTCGTGTTTCTTTATTTATTTATCCGTTATCTTGTTTCATCTTTCGTGCATCATGTTGCTTTTAGCAATTGATGCACGAAAATTTTCAATTGAAGACGAATCTTGAAACGCGTCCAATGTTCGATCGTTCTCATGAAAATTCAATGGAGCACGAGTACTTTATTCAAATAGGGGATTGAAAGAAAGGGGATGAAGAAAAATATTCTTTATGGCATATCGAATATGCCCCAGTCGTGAGAATCAGTGACCGAATGTACACGTGTTGCTTGCAATGCGTATTTTCGAACCTGCCAGTCAAAACGATACTTTACTTCGTCAAACTATCTGACGTGTAATTTTAAGGCTGATTACGATAAACGATATTTATGACAATGTTATTCCATGCATCTTACATGAATGCAAATATCAGTTCTGAATGGCTGAATCACAATTCTGAAATTCTGATATTATTTTCGTATAATTATGTTTTATGATCGATACACGTTTGTACGGATTGTTTTAGCAGTCTTCTTAGAAATTTTTTATCAGCTTGTTTCAGTAAAGACATGATTCCAATTTAACGAAACAAAAATTTCTCCATATATATATGTATGTATATATATGTGTGTGTGTATATATATATATAATTTCACATTATACAGTACAACCCTATAATTTCATATTACAGCATATATTGTCCTAAAATAACTATTATACTATTATATTTATGGACATACCAACCAAAACTTTAAAATCACTACATCTACAAGACTATATACTCAAATGTATTGTTTTCTTGCCAATTTTCGCACTAATTCGTCAGCTGTATCAAGAGTTAATATCTCAAGTACTCTTTTAAAAGTTCTCTTTCAAGTTGCAGTATTTAAAAATTTTAAACATCCATTCCATTTGCTCCGCGTGTTTAGCTACAATGATATCAAATAAAGTAAACATCGCTTTCAACAAACGCCGAATGATTTCTTCATACGTTTTGACCTGTTGGAACCGATCTGCCACTTGGTAAAGTAGGTCTCCATTCAGGAAGTGAACTTACTGTCGAAATGAAGGTGCACCATGTATATACACGAACTGCACGTGTGAGCCTACTGTTCGAACATTGCGTGTCGACTTACCTAACACGTTATTCAACCTCTGGTTAGACTAAACGTTGGATTACATTCCGCAGGACCGCTGGATTGCATCCTGATATTCTATTCGAATTGCTAGGGACGATCGATGCTCGAATGACAGACGAATGGCCGCGAAGTCAGTCGTAAAAATCTCTTAGGCTCGTTTCTGATGCACTATTGATGCGCCTGCGATGATCTATTTCAAGCTTAAACATTACTTCATTTTTTCCCCCTTTCCAATTTTTTTTTTTAAATCTTCGAATTCGATCCCTTTCTGTATACCTTTGCACTCCGTTCGATTAGAAAATTCTGAATATGATTTCGAATTTAATATGGTCTCGATGTACAATTTGTGAAATTGTGTATTATTATTCGAAAGAGTAATAATAATACGGGTCTCAAAATATCTAGCAATAATTGTTACGCTGAAGACGACAGAGCCCACTGAAAGTTGGATTGCGGCAACGTAGCCTTGGACTCGTTGTACTTAGGGGATTAACAGACTCATTCTAGTCGACTACTGTGTCTTCGTGCAATTGTAGAAAGATTTTGATAGCTGTGAATGGCAACACTTTTTATAGATTTTTCTGCGTATTATAAAGTAACGTACCCATCCATCCTTGTTGCAAGTTCTTAATTAATTAATTAACTTCTTAATTAATAAAAATAATTAGATTTAATTAGATATTAATAAACATTATTAGATTATTGTACGATCTGTACAATAACTTACTATGGTAATCATATCTGACAAGGATAACATCCGAAAACTTTGTAAGAAAGCAATTAATAATTTTGATTGCTTTTGATTTTCAAATAACACGAAGCTCGTGCACATGTGCTCGACACGTGTAAAAACATAGATTTGCGTAGTAATATACAGATGTCTGGATTCACATGAAAGCTGCGACGTAGATTAATAGCTCGACGGATTGGGTGAATAAAACAGATCTTATGAAGAAAGGGCAGGGACGAGTGTTTCTTGAATGAAATTGGGCTTAAAATATACTGAGAAAAACGGGCGGAGATAAATCTTATGGTCTATAAACAAATCTCGCGATAAATCTTGATAAAGTTGATTTACGTTGCCTTTGCGTTCGTATCTCCATTTGTTGGAGCGAATGATTCTGAATGTATAATTCGATTGAAGCGTTAATTTTTTTTTTTTTTTTTTTTGAGCGTTGCTGATCGAAAAATTGCTCAATATGCAAATTCGAATTTCGGAATAGACTTGAAGATTTCGAAATCGTTCGGGGGCATCTCGCGCTCTCGTTTTAAAGGTGAATTGACAAATGTTGGTCAAGGTAAATATCTATCTATGAAACTTTTTCTTAAGTATATATTTAATCATTGCATCACATGTTAAATATTGTGACCTGTAATAAATAAATAAAAGGTTGAATAAAGTAACTTGATGGATACTTTTAATTCGAGTAGATACTAATAAAGTTGACGAACAAGTTACATGACCACTCAGTGTTTGTACCAAAACCAAAAGTTACCGAAACATATATGCAACATTTCTAGGACTTATGAATTTGATATAAACTAAAATTCTGAGATATGCATGTACTTATCTTAAAAATGGGGAAAATTCTTTATTAAGAACTGTAATTCGCAGTTAAACAGATTTGTGAAACATTCGGTCAAAAGAAGTCCGAATTGTCACGATCAACTTCCATTGTCTTTATTATTATGAATACTTTCACCGTGGCAGAATTAGGGACACACGTACGTTATGATAGAAATTATTTCTCCGTCTAAGTTGCCTAATACGATACGTTTGCGGCGGGGCAATTTCGTTTCGTTCACGGTGTTTCACGTATAAAAACTGTCTACATATATTATTATGCGTATTTGTAGAAGAAAAATTATAATATAAAACAGCGAGTAAGCAGCCAGCGAAACCGTGTCAACGTGAGTTAGTTACGCAAAATTGACGAATTAGAAATTTCTCTCTCGCCAAGTGCATTGTTTCGGAAGCATTAAATGCTGGATCGCGTTGGTTATCATTCAGTTATTATGCAAAGTGACTAGTGTAATATGGTTTATATTTATAACACAGAAGCGATGGTGATATAATAATTTTTACAATACTCGTAAATCAAATTAAATTAAAATATATGTACATGTATGTTTAAAGCATTTCTATCAGTCTAACACATTGCGTGGATCAGCTCACAATCACCCTAATCTCTAGCGCTTGCGCCACGTGCGACCGATAATAACGTGTCTACCAAGAATACCGTAACGAAACCAAAAAGAACGGAGCGACTGTTCAACCTTATTTAATTCTCTCTTAAAACAAAGTAGCCTATTACAATTACGCCTATGAATCAGCGAGCGCGCGGCGTACAACGGGCCAACGTTCTAATGTTGAGTTCACCGGGATTAGCACGCTATCCAGATCGATTGGTAGATCTCGTGATATGAAACACGGTCGCAGGTGTAACAGGAACCTCTCGAAAAGAGAAGTCCAACTGCAAGGCAAATCGCACGGCCTTCCAGTTGCATTTATCACTGACGTCGCGACGCAACTTTCACGTCCATTTGTACAACGCTTTCAACGATTCAGCATTTCTAAAAAACAATGTAAAATATTTTTAAAACAATCCGCGAACTAGGAGGAACAAAATGACCGATACCGTGGATTTCTTTCTGTGCAACAGTATGTAAAAATATTCTTTAAAAATATGTTGTTGATATTGCAAGATCCTAGATTTTTGCATAGGAATGTGTCCATAATGCGCGCGCGTGTGGCGGTAGACACGGATGTAAAAGGATGTAGAACCTCGCGGCAGGTTGAGAAGGAAAAGCGAGAAGGAATGATCTGTAACACGTGGTACACAATCGCGCGGGTGACCGTCCTTATACCAGTTACCCAGATTTTCAACCAGGAACAAGCGTACGGAATAGTACAGACGCAAGCACGACAGGATTTTCCAAGGGAACTTGTACTTTCAAATTCTGATAAATATCGCGATAAATATCGACGACCCTGCGCGTCATTGGCCGCGATCCACCGATTCGTTCGTTATCTGCGAGATATCGATACACCGTCAGCTGTATCAATTCGTCGTGGAACAGTGTAAATAGCAATCGAATGGAATCGAATCAATAGCAATCGACCGCCGTGTCACTAGCTGACACAAGACGACTACACCGATTTAATGACCTGTGTGAACGTTCGTTAAGAAAGTTTGATAACGTTCGTGCTTTTGTACCGTATGTGATTTCATTTTGATCGAGCGTTAATTGACTCGAAATGTTCGTGCGATTGCAGTGGGTTCTGTATCGATACATTGATACTAATTGATATGGATTCTACGTTAATCGGGTTTGATTGGTGATTACGTGCGGCGAGTTGCGACGTAAAAGAACGTGACAATTTAATACCGTGATACGTGACACGTAACACGATATTTTTGAAGTTTCGATACGAAAGTAAAACAGAGGAGGTCTCGATGCGAGGATAAGACAATTTGAAACAACGTCCTTACGTTTT